TGCGGGGGGAAGGGGGGGGGGCGGGCGGGCCGTCGGCAGGGCGCCTGCGCACGCCGCGGCGAGTGCCCAGGCCGCGCAGGCTGCTGTGCGCCTGCGCCCGGTGCGGGGCCGTGGTGCGGGCGGGCGCGCGAAGCTTGTGCCTGCGCTCGGGCGGGCGGTAAATGCGGGCCGGGCGGCGCGGCGCGTACGCACTTGTGTTGCAGCTGGGCGTGCTAGGCCATGCCGTGTCCCTCAGGCCAGCGTGGGCCTGCCGCCCCATGGCTGGGGTCTTGCCCAAGGCCGGGTGCCATCCCGCTGCGAGTGTCCCCACGCCAGGGAGGGGGGCTCCAGCCTCAAGTTAGGGCACTCCCCACCATGAGTGGCCGGGCAGGCCCAGGCCCAGCCTGTCGGCACAGCCAAGGGGACCACATCTCTCCACCTCAAGCCACCCGTCACCTCTACCTCAGGCACTGTCTCCTCACAGAAGGGGAAAAACTGTACCCGAGGAACGCACCGGGAGAAGCGTGATCTGAACAGCGCTGCCTTGGTTGTGAGAAAACAAGAAAGCAGTGAAAATGAAGAAACTTGACTGGAAAAACAGGCAGGTGGATTGTGACTGTGACAAGCGCCCAGCTGTAGTGGCAGTCATGCAGTTCAGAGTGGGATTGGAGAGTGCCCTGATGCTCAAAGGCGCTGCTGAAGCAAGTGTGATTTTCATTTCTCAGCAAACTTCCCTTCCGTGCCGCACACTGGGTTTCCCCACCTGGATTTATGTTTCTCAAAACAGATTTGTACAAAATATTTTTCCAGTAGAGCTGTCAGGACTGAGAAAATGAGCTGCCGAAGCCATAACGGCAATAGCTCCCAGCCTGCTGTGTGTAGATGATGTTTCAGTGGTTCCTCCAGCACTGTCCACAGCTGAACTGCTCCATGCTGTCTGTCAAGGCCTCACACAGGAGTGTTGCACGTGGAATACAGGCACCCACACGCTCTCGCTAGATCATGCCCTTGTGTAGCAGAAATGCATTAATTTCCTGCCTGGTTCCTCCTCACAACCACAGATGAGGATGCTCAATTTTCTCTTCACCTTGTGTAACTCCCCTCTGTATTGAGACAAGATACGCTCTTGCACTGAGAGGTGAGTAAGCAATGAATGTAGGTGTGATAATATGTTAGCAATCGCTATGCTTTTGACCATAAGTACACATAGATTCACTCACTTCAAATAGAATTTCACTGGGATGATAGCAATCTTTTTTTCCCTTACAGTAAAAAGTATCTAAGCATTCAAAGCCTATCTAGATGAAGTCACTTTGGGAAAACTGAGAACTTGGGGCCTTTTGATTACTCCTTGTATAGGAGTTGACTATCTATGGGTGAAATTGATTTAGAAATAATATTCTCAGTAGCAAATGTGGTTAGATTACGTGACTAAGTTGTATGATCAGTTATAACTGTCCAGCGAAACAACTCGCATGATGCCTCAGCTGTTGAGGCAGTTTGGAGGCATTTTTTAAACCTATCACTTTTTTTGTTGGGTTTTTTTTTAATACCAGCAGCTAATTTAATGTCATAATTTTATTTTTTAATATGTTAAAAATGGACTGCTGAGTGCAACAGTAAAAGTGCTAATAGAACTTCTGCTGCAAATTTATCAAGTGCGTTGGATCACAAATACACTGGAGCTTTGAGATGGCGTGTCTCCAAGTTCACAACATATTTCTTTCTGTTTCAGGGATGGTCCCTGCTTTAAATTACTCACGCTGTGTTGTACAGACATGTTAACAGTTGAGTTGCACAAGAACAACACAAAGTTTGAACTTTTAGATCATTTGCCAGCTGAGATTCCAGTAAGATTTTACAGGACATAACACAGGAAAAAGTCATCCTGTGCATTATCATTGCTACTTTATTAGAGCAACGCCCACGTGCCCCACCCCTAGTGAGGACTACAGTCTGCTTGAGACTGTGAATGTAGAAAGACGGTTCCACACATTGGGTTTATGAGTTTAATGTACTACACATAGAGTAGAGAAAAGGAAATACTATCATCAGGATTCACTGATGGGTAATCACTAGGAAGAGATCCTTTTCAGGTTGGTATTAAGTGTTTAGCTGTGTTTACCACGTTTACCTATTGGTTTACTTGGTGTTTACACATAGTACTGCAAAAACATGACTTGTCCAAGATCTGCCAGAAGGCCCCTGACAGAGTTGGAAACTAGAGTGTCATCAGTCACCATCCAGTGACTATCCAGTACTTTTATTGCAGAAACCCAATAGTGATGGATATTATTCTACCCGCAATTTAATGATGGCAAACAGGAGTCAGACTAAAACCTTCCGCTGAAAAGGTGCGCATCTGTTTCCCTTGAGAAAAAGAGATTATCCATGTGTTATTGATACTGGCATGTTTATGGCACGCTGTAGAGCATTTCTCATACTGTTCAGTTAAGCTCGCCAGTATGTGCACACAGCTAGCAAGTTCATTGCAGTACAATCTTTATTAAGCACTGTAATGCTATTGCTTGATTATGGTTTTTTATTCCTTTTGTGATCAG